AGGGGCGGGGTCCATTGCGGGGCAGGGCAGGCCGTCAGCCGCCCCTTGCTCTCTTCCCCGGGCGGGGGCGGGGGCGGGGAAGCGGGAACCCCCCCCCCAACGCGAAGGAGCTTCCCCCGGGGAGTTTGGTTCCTAGCCCCTCCTCTCCCGCCCGGGATGGACGGTGAAGCCCCGGGCCGCCGAAGGCTGTGTAGCCCTCGCCGGGTCCCGCGGCGCCCGGCCGGGCTCCCAACTCAGGACACCGCCTCGCCCGCCCATTCCCCGCAGACGGCCCGGGCCCGGCCGCCCCGCCGGGGTGATGTCCGGCGGCCGTAGGAGGGGCGGCGCCCCCTGGCACAGCTTCTCCCGGTTCTTCGCTCTCCGGAGTCCTTTCCGGGACAAGGAAGAAGAGGAGGAGGAGAGGCCGGGGACGGGCCACCCGCCTGCCCCGGGCCGGGGCGCTGCCAGGTGGGAGTCTTGGGGGCGTCGGGGGAGGGGGTCCTGCGCGGACCCGCCGGACGGGGCTCCCAGCCTGACGCCCGCCGCCAGCTGCACTTGGACCGCCGCTTTCTGTTCTCCTTTCTCCGTTGCTCAAGTTTCCTCCTCCTCCTCGCCCGGTTCCCGGGCCGCACCTCTCCCCTCTCCCCTCTCCCGGGTTTGTTAAACGTGGATGAAGTTGGTGGCTCGCGGCCGGGTGCGCACCCCCTGGGCCGGCGCAGCCCGCGCTCTTCCCCCCCGCCCCTCCCGTCCGGGTTCGGTTCCCGGTCGGCGCCCGAGCCTGCTCGCCGAGTCCGGGGCAGGGGTGCGCCCCGGTGCCCCGCCGCGGTCCCGGGAGCAGCCGGGAGCCGGCGAGCCTCCCCGGCGTGGAGGGGCGCGTCCGAGCGCTGGTCGGGGGAAGCCTCCGAGCGTCTCCCGCAGCTGTTATTTTGCCTGCTTACTTAAATGTTCTCAAAAACGATTTAAAAAAAAAAGAATTGTGATACCGGGTCCCCAAGACTTCATCAAATTATAAACACCTCGCCTGTTTTATTTACCGTTGCCGGGACGTAAATGATGCCGCCTTCTTTCGTTCTTTCCCATCTTTCTTCGGAAACATGCCCTTTACCAAACAGCCTCCAGGAACGGTACTCGAACTGCCTTGGTTTCAGTAATGAAAACGTGTTCCTTCCCTGTAATCTTTTCTCCTTCCTCCACCTGCTATAAAATCTATGAGCTTGGTTTTGGGGGGTGGGGGCTGTTGTATTTGACGCGTTTCACTGAAAGAAAAAAACAAAGCAAACCTTTTCCCGAGCCTTTTCCCCCGTTATTGAGGAGGAAGAGGGGTTAAAGTAAATACAACTTCCCATTTTAGATCGTTGGTGCGAAGAGAGGCTGAAACGCCCTCCCCAGCCTGCGCTAGACGAGTGTGTAACCCATGTGATTACAAGAACGGGCCCAGATAGCTGTGTTCACTTCAGGTTTTAAAGACTCAGAGGACTTAAAGGAAAAGTGGATTTCGAGAAATAGAACTCCGTGACTGAGCTGGTTCCATTAGTATTTAGTTTTGTGATTTGATTCTCGTCGGCTATGTGTTCCTCGGTTTCCCTGCTTGTGGACCATTTGCATTATGGCCACCTGTTGATAAAATCCCACACCTTTCCAAGAAAGCTCCTACTAAATTGGTAGACTTCTCCGGGGAAGTTCCTGCTCTTATTACCCGGACTGTTAATGGAGAATTTAAAATTCAAAGTTACACAGTAGTTAAAAATAGTTTGGAAGCCTGACTGGGCTCCACCAGAATGTCAGATCTGCTGGTGTGGGCAGCCTGCCGGTGGTGCCTGGCATCACTGGACAACACGAACAGTCAGGTAATGTGGGAGAGGAGTTTAAACGAAACCCCAGGTAGACTCCACAAACTGGGAAACTTGAGCCCTGTTAGAAAGGAATAGGTGGGCCGATTTCAGGTTCATATCAGAATTGCCCTGAAACCCTGCCTGCCTTTCTCCGGGATTTGGGCTCTTAGGCACTTCTCACATCTAATCTCCTCTCTGGAGCTAACCACTCTACCAACTAGTCTCTTGCCTACTTGCCACTTCCCTATTCTCATTGTCTCCAGATAGGCACAGACTGGCTGACACTGAAAATGTTAATTGTGCTTATATGAACACTAATTTTGTCTTCATCTTTTTTAGAGTTTGCCAGATGTTATGGGGAGAGCAGATAATCCTTTGTGTGGGTGTTTTACCTTTTAAGAGAGCTTAAATCTTTCTTTTCAAGGATATAAACACAAACAAAGCCTTTATTGAAAGTTTAATGAAACAAATGGAAATGCTTAGTGGTACCAAATGTCCTAGTAACCCAACACCCTGGTGTTAACAAGATTGGAAACAGAATTGCGATTTGTCACTGTGATCTTATTTCAATCTGAAAGGGTATTTTGGCTGTGTCTCTTAGAGGCAGTAAAAACTTTTAGTCCTAATGGGGGCCAGGTTTACCTTCTGTGCTGGTGATTTTAGAGGCAGAGGGGTCCATTTAGCAGACATGCAGTGCCTGGGAGTAGGGATGCACAGCTTCCATGGTGTGCTGTAAGTTATTTGCTCTCCATGTGCTGTGAACACATCATTTGTGTATTGAGTTTGCTGTTGTTCTAGTCTCATTAACCTTCAGCAATTAAAGAAACACGTTAATATACGAATTCAGGTGTGGGCATTCCAATTGCTCGTCAGCCCTCATATCTTGGGTGGTTGACCAGATCCAGAAAGTGCTTATATTTTTATTTTAGATTATACAGGGGTTGTCAAGAGTAGGCTTACAGTTGTTCATATGGAAAATAATACAATAATTAATAAATAATAACAAGAATACATACTCTGTTTTGCATACTCACAACTGTAAACTTACTTTTGCCCACGCCAGTATAGAAATGAAAACTGCAATTGAAGTTTTACATAGGAAACTTGAAAAGTCTGAGTTCTGTGGCACCCAGTTTGAAAATCACTGCTGTAATGTTTAGCCCAGTTTATGGCACACAAGGAACATACTCATTATAAGTGATAGGGGAGAATACGGAGGGCTTTGTGGTAGAGGTTTTAATGGGGCCTTCGAGGCATTAGTGGTGTTTCTATAGGTAGAGAATTGAGCCAGGAAGATAGAGATAAATTGGGAACAGGTCTTCTCGGCTGAGCAAGGGCTAGCAGGTGGTTAGGATCTGTTAAAGGCTATGCACATTAGTGAGACAGAGTGAAAAAGGTGATAAACGGTTAGATTGAAACTGGATTGTAAAGGTCTAACAGAGTGTTTGATTCTCAATTAAAAATTTAGAGAATTTTTTTGCCTGGCTGGCGTGGCTCAGTGGTTGAGTGTCAACCTATGAACTAGGAGATCACGGTTTGATTCTCAGTCAGGGCACATGCCCTGGTTGTGTGCTTGATCCCCAGTGTGGGGCATGCAGGAGGCAGCCGATCAATGTTTCTCTCTCATCATTGATGTGTCTATCTCTTCTCCTCTTTTCCTATCTGAAATCAATGAAATATATATATTTTTAAATTTGGAGAATTTTTGCAAAAGCCTGTTAAACAGATACTGCTAAAATGTGAAATTTGGAGGATAGCTGCCTACTAATTTTACCCGCTTTTGAGAAAATGCTCTGCTCTGTTTCTTTGCTATCTATAATAATAAAAGCATAATATGCTAATTAGACCAGACAGCTGAACGACCTTCTGGACACCCTTCCTGACGAAGCTGTGGCAGCGGGGGCGAGGCAGAGGCAGTTAGGGGCGATCAGGCAGGCAGGCGAGCAGTCAGGGGCAATCAGGCAGGCAGGCAGGCAAGTGGTTAGGGGCAATCAGGCAGGCAGGCGTGTGGTTAGGAGCCAGCGATCCCAGATTGCGAGAGGGTGCATGCCTGGCTGAGGGAACCCCCCTCCATGTACAAATTTTGTGCACCGGGCCTTCTGGTATCATACATGACAGACCTGTTTATAATGAGCTCTATGCAATGTTTGCAACTCAGGAGGGGGAAAGGAAGGTGAGAACAGCATTTTTCAAGGGCTGACTGTGCACTTCTGGACTGGTACTTTTACTTAGAGCATGTCATTTAAACCTCACCCTCAGCCTGGAAGGTTGGAATGCTTACCACTATTCTGACAATTAAGGAAACCGAGGGCGGGACAGTTCTTATGGTGGACACTGTTGGTGGTTGGGTGGAACAATTCTCTTTTTTGTTAAATATTTTTTTTATTGATTTTTGGAGAGATAGAAACATCAGTGATGAGAGAGAATCATTGATCAGCTGCCTCCTGCACGCCCCCACTGGGGACCAAGCTCTCAACCCAGACATGTGTCCTGACCAGGAATCGAACTGTGACCTCCTGGTTCATGGGTCACCACTCAACCATTGAGGAGCACTAGCCAGCCTGGAACAATTATTTTTTTAACTGGACTCTTCTGTCCTTGGCAAAACATTTGGCATCTGTGACCCCACCCACTAATTGCCAGCAGCATCCTCCAGTCATTGGAATAATCCTGAACACCACCCAGGTGGGTGGAAGAGGGAGTGATTTACTCCAAATTATGAGAGGAATAAGGTCCAGGGAGGGGTGAGATTGGAACTTAGGTTTTTCTAACTGACTCCAAAGCTCTGATATTTTTTCTCACACCAGGCTTCTGAGCACCTTCAAAATACATTAATATCTAAGCCAATTGGACCTTTATTTATTTTGCTCAAGGATGGATGACAGTGTGTACCATTTTAGATATATTCTTTTGGGCTGTTCCTTTGAGTGTCCCAATATAGTGTTATTGATAGAAGGTAAGACAGCATCACTAGACTCAAAGATGGGCTGTGTCATATTTATCCTGGTGTCTCCTTTGCCTGGGTCAGGTGAAGAGTGAATCTCTGTTTGTTGGTGGAGCATTAAAGCACTTATGAGTGGTTTTCAGCTAGGGGTAGTACACACCCCACCTTTAAGCATTTAGAAACATTGAGGATCTTAAATGTCTCCAGACAGTGTTTGCCTCTCAGTTTAAAGGTTCAGAGAATTTTTGCTTGTCACCATAGGTGAGGGTGTTAAATGGGTAAAGCCAGGATGCTAAATGGCTGGTTATGTAGGAGATAGTCTTATAAAAATGGTCAGTAGTGCCCCTGATGCATGAGATCTGTTGGCCTTCAAGTTCAAGTGTTGACCACAGCTTCAGTTATATGAGGAAGGGAGGTTTGTTCTCTGAATGTTCACGGTGACTCTATTTCATAGACTTGAAAGCATTTTAGAAGACTAGAGGTGTGGTGCACAAAATTCGTGCACTGCGGGGGGGGTGGGGTCCCTCAGCCCGGCCTGTGCCCTCTCGCAGTCTGGGATCCTTCGCTCCATACTGCCTGCCTGCTCGCTGCTTCTTACCACTTGGCTCGCTGCTCTCTAGCACTGCTGCAGAGGTGGGAGAAGCTCCTGCCACCGCCGCTGAGCTTGCCAGCCATGAGCCTGGCTTCTGACT